AAATACAATAATTCTGTTTATAACTCATTTTGAATGTATGCATTATTACTTGAATAAACATTCTTATTATTATTATTATTATTTTTATTATTATTATTATTATTATTATTATTATTATTATTATTATTATTATATAATCATGTCTTCCGTCTGCCTCTACAACTTGCTCAATTATATCTTTCCATTTACCAGATACTATTACGCTAAACTTAGGAAATGTTAAAGAGAGGTTATAGAGATTATAGAGATTTCCTAACTTAAAGATGCTAGGGAAAACTTCCTAACATCTCTATGATGCATTGGAGTCTCACACTTCATCCCGTTCCCTTATGTTCTATTAGTATTCATTGTAAACGTTTCCTCTTTTTATACTCTGTCAATCCCCCCTAAGTATTTTATATGTGTGTATCATGTCTCTCCTCTCTTTCCTCCTCACATCTTTTCTAGCACCGGCAGTTTTAGTTCCTTCAGTCTCTCTTCATTTCTCATCTCTCGTAATTCTAGGACAAGTCTCGTTGCAAACTTCTGCACGCTTCCGAGTTTCTATATTTGTTTTTTTTTTAAGATGGGGGGCTCCACGATGGGACGGCATACTCCAAAACTTGCTTCACATAAGCGGTATACAGTGATCTAAAGTACTCCTTATTTAAGTTCCTAAAGGATGTTCTTCTGACTTTTCATTGCGAAGAATATGCAGGTAATTTCATTCTATTTATATGACACTCTGGAGTTAGGTTTGTGTTATGTCCACTCCAAGTCTTTTTCTCTAGTCGTTGTAAGAAGGTAGTTTCCCTTCATCATGTATTGGCCTTTCAGTCTTCTGGCTCCTGGAAGCCAACAAAAAAACTTAAACAGTCCAGCTGGGACCACCCGCTAGTATAAAAAATAGCTGATGCCATGCTCAGAGCCGCAACATCAGACAAGGAGAAAGCCCGCCTCAGAGCAGTGCATGCCCTCCATGCAGGAGACTTCCTCCTGGCAGTACCCATGTCAGCAATGGGCACGCGCCTAGATCCAGAATCCCTTCGTGTAGCAGTGGCCCTCCGCCTTGGTGCCCCAATTCACACTGAATACAAGTGTATTTGCAACAGGGTGGAAGCAGACCAATATGGACTGCATGGGTTGCATTGCGTAAGCACAAAGGGCTGGCATGCGAGACACAACGAGGTCAATGACATCATCAAGAGGAGCCTCGTCTCAGCTAGGTGCCCAGCGGAGAGAAAACCTCGCATCCTAGGGGACCAAAACAGGATTTCCCCCGCACTTCGCCCTGATGGCATCACCATAAACTCCTGGAAAAGGGGCAAGCACGTGGTGTGGGACTACACGTGTGTATCCACCCTGACTGACACCTATGTACACTACGGTGCTGATCAAGCAGGTGGGGCGGCCAACCACAGGGAAATAGCAAAATCAGTCAAATACAGGCGATTGGAAGGTCAATACATCTTTGTTCCCATAGCGTCTGAGACGCATGGCCCCTGGGGCAAGAGTGCCTTGGGATTTCTCAAGGAATTGGGCTCCAAGCTCATTGACGTCACCAGGGACCCAAGAGCTGCCAGTTTTTTTGTTTCAGCGCCTCAGTGTGGCGATCCAGAGGGGAAACGCCTGCTGCGTCCTCGGTTCCCGTCCTGAAGCGGAGGAGCTTCAAGAGATCCATAACCTTTGAGCACTCTTTGTATCAACCAATGTATATCTTGTAACCTTTAAACATATAATAAAGCAAAAAAAAAATATATATATATATATATATATATATATATATATATATATATATATATATATATATATATATATATATATATATATATATGAGCACATATCACTATGACTTTATGGCCTCTCATAGGTTTCGAACCCAGGCCACCAGAGGTATCCCCACGAACGGCACCGATATCATGACCACTGTAGTGTGGGCAGTCGTAATGATTCTGGTGTAAATCCATTCACTTGCACCATCGGGGCTTCGAACTCTCGACCACCAGAGTGGAGGAGATGAGCTCTACCGACCTTACTACGGATACCCACAATAAGAGAGTCCCAGAGAGACACAACTGCGTGTTATTAAGCTCTTCACACGTGTCCTTATTATTCTTTGTGTAGCCTCCTACTCTTTTGCGAGTCACTGTGTGTGTAATTACTATTTGTGTCTGCAAAATCGAGCTATTAGCTCTTGGACCCCGCCTTGTTAACCAATTTGTTTTCTTCTATTATATCTACTGAATATATTTCTCTCTAACACACACGCGCGCACACACACACACACACACACACACACACACACACACACACACACACACACACACACACACACACACACACACACACACACATATCCCCAGGAAGCAGCCCGTAGTAGCTGGATAACTCCCAGGTACCTATTTACTGCTAGGTGAATCAGGGTGAAAGAAACGCTGCCCATTCATTTCTGCCTCGGCCGGGAATCGAACCCGGGCCCTTAGGACTACGACTCCCGAGCGCTGTCCACTCAACCGCGAGGCCCAGAGTGCGCTGTGTGTGTGTGTGTGTGTGTGTGTGTGTGTGTGTGTGTGTGTGTGTGTGTGTGTGTGTGTGTGTGTGTGTGTGTGTGTGTGTGTGTGTGTGTGTGTGTGTGTGTGTGTGTGTGCGTGCTCTTAGCATCATTAGCAAACATGGCCACGCAGCTGTGTTTGTGTTGTCTGTGGCGGTGAAGGGCTGACTGGTGTAGGGAGTGACTGTAAAATTGAGGAGTGGTGGGGAACGTGCAGGCAGCATAGGTCGGCTCGCGCGGTGAGCTGTGATGCGCCAGGTTCTGCACATTCTTGTAAGCAAACCGGATATGTGCCATACAATGTGCTCTGAGTCAAGACAAGTGAGCACGAGCGGTCAGTCAGACACACCTTAAATCTGTCTTAACCCCACATTATAAAGCTGTAATTGTAATCCCTGGGCCAAAACTATCGTGCAGGTCTACATCAATGGCACTCCCGCTATCAGGATTAATTACTCCATTAATTATGATTTTGTTCATTAAGAGCTCCTGATGAAAAAATGGTTAATTGTTAAAAAGTTGGTGTGATGTAGGTCTTCGTGAAGGGGGGGTGGGGTGGGGTCGGGCGCGTGCTTCGCCCAAGGTGCGGTGCAGGCGACTTAGGCCTGTGTGCCATCAGGTGGTGAGTGTGGTATTAGCTTGCCGCGCCTCATTGTTGCCTCATAAAGAACCCCCGTTCCCAGCTCCGCGGAAAAATGCCCTCTCCCCCTAACTTTTCCATTTAAACCGCCCCTTTTTTTCTTTCCTCTTTTAATTATCGCGCCCTTTTTAAGCAGCGCCAGTCTCAAGGGCTACTTTTCATACATTATCGTAGCAATTCCTGCACTGTTGACAAGCAATTTTGGCTCTAATTAAACTGTGTGTAAAGGTGGTAGCCATGGTCACACCTTACAGCGTCGAGATTTTACCCAGAGATGAAAACAAAAACCTATCGAGAGTTTTTCCCCGGGAGTGATTTACCGCGGCTGCACAGGAGGGGTAGCGAGGGGCCCCTGTGTGCTGCCACTGGCCCCGGGGCCAACACACAGACACGTCTTCATCCCCCAGTCTCTTTGATGGAATGCACCGAGACTCGTGTTCCCTCTCCACCTCCCACTCCTGACTAAACCGCTCTGCCAACTCCGTCTGATCTGCCCTGGCTTTCCCTACCCTGCCCTCTACCCAGTACACGTCGGCCGCCGCGGCTTGGGTAATTGGTGTGGCCTGTAAACTTGACCTGGGTTTCAGTAGTGGCGTTGGCCACACGCTCAAGGCCAGCCCTCCTGCATTATAAATATCCATGTGTTGGCGCTGGACTGTCCTGCTGGAGGTGCAGCCGCCGCCGCCGCTCACCACAGAGTTGAAGGGTTGGTCCCGGGCTCTGCAGCTGCTGGTGCTGCTGTTGCTGCTGGTGTTGCTCTGGCTGCTGCTGCTGCTGTCGTGGCTGTTGGTTTTGACTAGCGGTGGTAGTGGTCGAGATATCATCATCACGGCTGCCACGCAGCGAGTGATAGTTAAGAACTCTGTTAATGTATAGAGTCAGTCATGTTTTAGTCTGCCAGTGAAAGTCAGAGGTTGTTTTGTTGTCCTTTTGCTTACTAGGTATTCCTGATGGGGCCATCTGAAGGTTTAATAATCTATACTGGTTTTCTTCTCCTTTATTTCATCTTCCGTCACATTCCCGTACAACTTCTTCTTTCTATGTATTCCCCATGTTGACCAGCTGTACAGGGTACGAGTATGTCCTTACAGTCCATCGGCTCATTTGCCTTTCAAGCTTCCACCTGTGTCATCTTGTCCTACAGTCTCCCTGTCTAATGAGGATCTCCGTGGTGTAGTGGTAAGACACTCGCCTGGCGTTCCGCGAACGCTTAGTCATGAGTTCGTATCCTGGCCGGGGAGGATTTACTGGGCGCAAATCCTTAACTGTAGCCTCTGTTTAACGCAACAGTAAAATGTGTACTTGGTTGTAACAAGGATTCTTCGCGGCGGGGATCGTATTCCAGGGACCTGCCCGAAACGCTACGCGTACTAGTGGCTGTACAAGAATGTAACAACAGAATGTAACAACTCTTGTATAAAAAAATAAAAAAAACGATATCCTTACACATCTTATCTGCTATCTAGTGCGGTGGTGTAGTGTACTGGTATAGTGAACTGTGGTGGTATAGTGAAGTATGGTACAGTGTGGTGATGATGGTGTTGATAAAGTGTCGTTGTTATAATAAAGTGGTGTGGTGTGGTGGTGATGGAGTTATGGTAATAGTGAGGTGATGGTGTACCAGTGTGGTATAGTGGTGATGTAGTTATGATAATAGTCATGTGATGGTATATCAATGTAGTATAGTGGTGACGGAGTTATGATAATAGTCATGTGATGGTGAATCAGTGTGGTATTGTGGTGATGTATTTATGATGATAGTCGTGTGATGGTGTATGAAGGTGGTGGTGAGCGTGACGATGGAGTAACCCGTGTGATCATTGTCCACAGAGAGCAGCAAGTGCCCCACGCCGGGATGTAACGGGTCGGGGCACGCCACCGGGCTCTACTCCCACCACCGCTCCCTCTCCGGCTGCCCCAGGAAGGACAAGGTCACCCCGGAGAGTAAGTCACCTTCTCACTATCCTGTGTGATGGGGATTTTTTAGCATCACCTAGTTAGCTTTTTTGACACACTGTACTCCACTTCATATAGTCTAGGGCAGCTGCACTAATGCAGATGTACCTCATGTATTAATAAAAAAAATGACCATTGACATATGTGGAGCCAGTTATGCATTGTATTTCAAAATACATTAAAATCAGTATTTCTATTTCTTTTTATTTGAGAACTCTTAATTAAAGTTAAGTATTTTTTATTTGTAATTGATTAGATTTAAGAATTTGCAAGTTTTAGATAAATGCTGCTGTTTAAACCATTATAATTTGAGCATCATAAGCACCAGACTTATTTGGAGGCTGTTCACTTCATAGCGCCATATTTAAACTTTTTTTATGGTATTGATAATAATCAGTAGGCCTACACGGTGCTATGACCCCACAGTCACAACACACACCTGCCCCACGTGCTGAGTGTGTTGAGACCACAACACACTCACAACAGCCAGGTATATCACCTCTATTCTTGTCCCGCTCTCCAACTCTAACGATGGGCCTAGAAAATGGTAATTGTTCTGACAGCAAGACAGTCTTGCACGGTACAGGTAGGAGGGGGGGCGGGACACCCCTAACTTGATCAATTATTCATTTGTCTTAATATATCTCCAAGTTCATTATTTATGTTCTTAAGTACAACTTGCCTTCCTGTTGTATTTGATTTGAAGTTTAAACTTGTAATGGACTTTGAAGATATTTAGATTGGAATATTTGTGCGTTTTTGTCAAGATTCATTTGTCTCCAAAAATCTCAGATCAATATTTTGTCAAGTTACTTGATCACAAAGAGTCACAGGAACACTGTGAGTCACAGGAACACTGTGAGTCACAGGAACACTGTGAGTCACAGCAACACTGTGAGTCACAGCAACACTGTGAGTCACACTCTGCTCGTCTACATGATAGTTACATCACATTAATATGTGTGTTCCTCCCTTTATGTTTCTTAATTGTTTAGAAGGATGTCTCGCGCCTGTTGTGGCACAGCTCTCTACAACCGCACAACTGTTCCTTAATTGTAATTTGAAATCATTTGAACTCTAACCCCACTAAATGGTGAGAGTGACAGTCAGTTTCCCAGACATATTCCTGTTCACCTCCCGCCATATGTCTCCCCCCTCCCCCTTCCTTTCTCAGTAAACACCCCCTCCTTCCCATCCCCACCTTCAACTCTTCTTCCTCCACCCCCCTGCCCCCCCATCCTCCCCCCCCCCTGCTTCTACAGTCTCCCAAGTTGAGGTAAACCATACTTTGTTTTTGGTCTACATCTATACGTAGTGAGAGAATCTTACTCAGTTAATATATTCTAAGTAATATATATATATATATATATATATATATATATATATATATATATATATATATATATATATATATATATATATATACACACACACACACACACACACACACACACACACACTAAGAACTCGACATGACCCAGCCAGGATTCGAACCCATGACGTCCAGGATCACCCCTGAACGTGCACGGTACCGTGACCACCGCACCATTGATCGTCATTAGACGATCAATGGTGCGGTGGTTTAATCGGAGGCAGGTATTTAATCAGCCTCAGGTGTTTGATCAGTGACAAGTGTTTAATCAGTAAGGTAGAGTAGTGAGGTAGGGAGGCGTGTAGTTACCTGAGGGAGGTGGTGTCCGCAGTTCTCGCCGCCCACGAGACCATCGTCAAGTGCCCGACGCCCGGCTGCTCGGGGCGAGGCCACGTCAACCAGTCGAGGCACTGCCACCGGTCCCTCTCCGGCTGCCCCGTCGCCGCCGCCTCCAAACAGGCCGCCAGACACGCCCGCCAACGCATGGCCCTTCTGCAGCAGCCACACATCCCACTACAGCAGACAGGTAGGTACGGCGGTGGCGCTTCTTGCGCTCAGTTGGGAAGCGTTCATAATCACTTTTCATTTCCAGTTTGTGAAACAGTGACAATAGAAATTTTGAACACAGGAAGTGAAGAAATGGTTGAGAGTTACTGAGCCAAGTGACCAAACCACACACACCAGAAGATGAAGAGACGACGACGTTTCGGTCCGTCCTGGACCATTCTCAAGTCGATTGACTTGATAAGGGTCCAAGACGGACAGAAACGTCGTCGTCGTCGTCTTGTGTGTAATTTCGTCATCACATCTTCAGCCACGGTATTGTGATTCATCGTCTGCATACTGAACCATATATCCCTCAACATCACTATAAATGCTTCACACTTGTGATGTAAATACAAATAATTGCCAACAGAGCCTAAACATCTAGCCTTATCTATGCCTAACTATAAACAGAAATCAATATGCTCGAGAATGTCTGTTTTTCTCTGTTCAAGGATAAAAACAGACGCTTAAAGCTGGCATCATCCAACTTTTCAAGATGACACATGGGCGGTGTGTGATTGTCACAGGTTGCTCGGGATAGGCCACATTGCTCAGCTTTTAATAAATATCGGCTCCCCACAGCGATTTTGATGAAGTTTGAAATCGAAGATTTTATTTGCGTAGAGTATTGACTAATATTTTCCTCTTTTTAGAACTATTGCATTTTCTGTGCCAAAAATAGAGAGGGGGGGAAGGTGTAGATGGGGGAGGTTATGTGAAGAGAGAGGGGAGATAGGGGAAAAGAGCAGTAGACAGGTGGATGGTGCTAAAATAGAAGGGTGGGTGGGTGTTTCAGTAGACAGTCGCGTGCTGCTGCAGTAGACAGATGGTGGTGCTACAAAATTTGACTAACTATTATCGTATACTGTGTGGTTATAAACGACAGTAATCTCTTTGTTTATACATTGAGAAGTGTGGTGTATATACCATAGTACCACATTGAGAAGTGTGGTGTATATACCACAGTACCACATTGAGAAGTGGGGTGTATATACCATAGTACCACATTGAGAAGTGTGGTGTATATACCGTAGTACCACATTGAGAAGTGTGGTGTATATACCACAGTACCACATTGAGAAGTGTGGTGTATATACCACAGTACCACATTGAGAAGTGGGGTGTATATACCACAGTACCACATTGAGAAGTGGGGTGTATATACCACAGTACCACATTGAGAAGTGGGGTGTATATACCACAGTACCACGTTGAGACGCCGTATATTGTTTGGGTGGCATTGCTGCCAGTCTCATATCTTCCCTTCAGTGTCATTAAATAATATTTTTGCACAATAAAACTGGCAATACAATTTACAGATTGTAATACAACTGTAATACGATTGTAATGACGTGGTGAGGCCGGAGTTGACTCACTCCTAGACTGCTTGACATGGTTCTAGCGTCTTGACTGTTGACAGTACTCCAACATTCACACATTACAACATACGTCAGCATGAGGGATCTGTTGTAACTTACTGGTTCATATAAACCAGTTAGAGCACTCCTGTAGCATGTATTCTGCCAGTGCCTCTATAGCAAGTGGCGTAAACATGCCTGAAGTGTCTTTACTGTTGGAATGAGGTGATTGATGGAAACTTTCAAGATGTTAAAGCTAGATTTTGCCAATGAATAACTATATTTTAAATAAATCTTTACCCTGAGTGTGGGAAGACCTAACTAACATGAACTTGCTTATCCACAGCCCCGACGTCAGACCGCCTGCTGAGACCCGTGTGCTTGGTGAAGCAGCTGGACTTCTCGCAGCCGTCGCTGCCTCTTCTCCCGGGTGCCGGCGCTCCTGCCACTTCCACAGCCTCAGCCACTAATATCTCTCCGGCCTTCCCAGGCACCTCAGCGGATGAGCTAACTAACCAGCATTTAAGTGCTGAACTTTCCCCCAAACCCCTGTCCCTTGTAGCCTCTACATCTGCGTCCACCGCGTCCGACTCCGCGTCACCGCTTGTGCTAGCAAAGACAGAAACTTGCGTAACGTCTTCCACGTCATCCAAACCATCAACGACAAATTTTTCCAGCGCGCCCTCCCCACAGGGGTTTGCCTCCCTGTGCTCCCCAGCACCAGACGAAGACGCAGGCTCTTCTGCTGCCTCGCCCCCTCCATCAGCTGTAAGTCCCTCCTCCATTCTTAAAACTGCCGGGATTTGTTCGACCAGTTTCGCGGGAACTTCTTCCGCCACTTCGAGCACAAGTGTTGAGGCGCGGTCTTGTGATCGCGACCCCTTGATGGAGACGTCAACGGTGCCGCCCCCAGCAGCCCGCGACCCTCCCGGTCTCCGCCCCCAGGATCCTCCCAAGACCTGTATGGAGGAGGTGGCAGGGGGAGGCAGGCTTGCCCTCACCCCCACCAACAATAACAACACCACCACGACCAATAATAACAATAACAACAGTAACAGTAGCAACCATAGTGGTAGCATCACCACAACCACAACAAGCTCCAGTAACAGCAATAGTAACAACAACAGCAGCAGATCTCTCAGCCACAGCCCTCACAAAGGTCTCACGTCACTAGACTCGTCTGTCAAGGCAACAGAGAACACAGGGTTGGGCTGTTTCGGCTACAAAGGCGAAGACGAGGCGGGATTAATCCGGCCGGCAGCCATCACGGAGGTACGGGCAAGTGATGCGCGGTTTGACCTCCCACACTCCTACACCACGCTCGACCTAGACCGCCAGGCCACCATCCCTGTGTCACAGCCACACATGCCGCCCACGCCAACAACGTTCGACACAACCGTCGCTGGCGGTGGATCCTTACAAGGGGGATCCATCACCCCAATGACCCCGGCTCCGGGTTCCCTCGTGGGCGGTAATGGTCCTCTTCTTCCACATGGCCCTTTCGACGCCCTGAAGCCGCCCGTGTCCTCGGAGTATCCCATCACAACCACCCACAACAGTTTCTTCATGAACAAGGCGTGTGGAGCAGAAGTAAAACTGAACGACACAACGCCCTGTTCGGTGGCCTGCATGCCGCCAGTCCCACCCAACTCAATGTACCAAAGGTTAGTTTTAACACATGAACACCCCATCACTTTAATATAGAACACCTTCCTGGAATAACCACATGCGTAGAGACCTTCATGCGCATGAATACAACATGACAGTGCGCTTGTTGCGTGTGTGGGGCGGTCAAGCTAGGTGACACAGTGCGCCCCAGAGTACTGTGTCCAAGGCTGGTGGTGAGCAATCACCACTCTGCCTTACCACGCCACGTAGCACCACAGAGAACACTCTTCGCCTAACATTTACTCTTTCTTTGCTTGCCACATACATTGTTCTATATTTGGGGGGCCCTGGACGCATTACTTTCCTTCAGTTATCATAAGTGTTCATCATTCTCTCTTCCCGCAGCCCCGGATATCGCTACGACAGCTCGGCAATTAATCTGAGCGTCAAGACCTCGGCTCTCGGACCTAACCCCATGTCCCCAGCCAATGTTATGGACCTTTCGGGTCCCATGGGTACCGGAGGTCCCATGGTAACGTCACCACACTACCCAGGGCCAGGCGTGTCCCCTTGTTACAGCGGACCCCAACTGGTGTCTCCCGGCAGCTCTCATGACTCGCAACACACCAACCAGACCCTCGACCTCTCCCTCGCACGACCTCCGGGCTCGCTCAGGTATTACACACACACACGCACACACACACACACACACACACACACACACACACACACACACACACACACACACACACACACACACTTAGGGGCCTCGTAGCCAGGTGGATAGCGCGCAGGATTCGTAATTCTGTGGCGCGGGTTCGATTCCCGCACGAGGCAGAAACAAATGGGCAAAGTTTCTTTCACCCTGAATGCCCCTGTTACCTAGCAGTAAATAGGTACCTGGGAGTTAGTCAGCTGTCACGGGCTGCTTCCTGGGGTGTGTGTGTGTGTGTGGTGTGGAAAAAAAAAAAAAAAAGTAGTTAGTAAACAGTTGATTGACAGTTGAGAGGCGGGCCGAAAGAGCAAAGCTCAACCCCCGTAAAAACACAACTAGTAAACACACACGCACACAATGGAGTCCATATCTAGTCAAGCATAAGACTAAACTGGAAAAGGTTCAAAGGTTTGCCACCAGACTAGTACCCGAACTGAGAGGTATGAGTTACGAGGAGAGACTACGAGAATTAAACCTCACGTCACTGGGACACAGAAGAGTTAGAGGGGACATGATCACCACATACAAGATTCTCAAAGGAATTGGTAGGGTAGAAAAGGACAAACTATTTAACACAAGGGGCACATGCACTAGGGGGGACAGGTGGAAATTGAGTGCCCAAATGAGCCATAGAGACGTTAGAAAAAAAAATTCAGTGTCAGAGTAGTAGACAAATGGGATGCATTAGGCAGTGATGTGGTGGAGACGGACTCCATACACAGCTTCATGTGTAGATATATGATAGAGCCCAGTAAGCTCTGGAATCTGTACACCAGTTGAATGACAGTTGAGAGGCGGGACCAAAGAGCCAGAGCTCAACCCCCGCAAGCTCAACTAGGTGAGTACACACACACACACACACATGGCAGCTCAAGTTCAACCCGAGTAAATGCAAAGTAATGAAACTTGGCGGCGGAAACAGCAGGCCAGACACAGGATGCAGAATAGGAGATGAAGTACTTAATGAAACGGACAGAGAGAAAGATCTAGGGGTTGATATCACACCAAACCTGTCTTCTGTAGCCCACGTAAAAAGAATTGCGTCTGCGGCATACACGAGGCTGGCTAACATCAGAACAGCATTCAGGAACCTATGTAAGGAATCATTTAGAATCTTGTATACCACATATGTAAGACTAATACTGGAGTATGCGGCCCCAGCATGGAGCCCGTATCTTGTCAAGCACAAGACGAAGCTGGAAAAAGTTCAGAGGAATGCCACTAGACTAGTCCCAGAACTAAGAGACATGAGTTACGAGGAAAGGCTGCGGGAAATGCACCTTACGACACTGGAAGACAGAAGAGTGAGGGGAGACATGATCACTACCTACAATATCCTCAGGGGAAATGACAGGGTTGACAAGGATAAGCTATTCAACACTGGCGGCACGCGAACAAGGGGACACAGGTGGAAACTGAGTACCCAAATGAGCCACAGGGACGTTAGAAAGAACTTGTTCAGTGTCAGAGTAGTTAACAGGTGAAATGCATTAGGCAGTGATGTGGTGGAGGCTGACTCCATACACAGTTTCAAATGTAGATATGATAGAGCCCAGTAGGCTTAGGAACCTGTACACCTGTTGATTGACGGTTGAGAGGCGGGACCAAAGAGCCAGAGCTCAACCCCCGCAAGCACAATTAGAGTACAATTAGGTGATTACCCACTCACACACTCTCGCTCTCTCATACTCATGCAGTTGCTCTCTCTCTCTCTCATACTCACTCATACACTCTAACGCTGCACTCTTATTAAAACTTATTTACACAAAAAAATACAGTTGAGACTGTAGAGAGGAATGATTAGATCTTAAGGACTCCTTGCAAGACGTTGATTATTGCCTACAACTTGTTAATAAGTTAACACTAATTTGACATTTTGGATTTGAATTTGACATCAATGGACAATTGATTTATCCCGTAATAATTAACTTTGTATAACAAGTTGATGTTCAAGCATGACCTAACGTATATATATATATATATATATTCTTTGATGACTTATTGATGTCTTGTGGATTATTAATAGAAATAATTTGAGATGCAGCCATGGAAATGTATTTATAATCAAAATGGTTCTATAAATGGATAGAAATATAATTCACCAGGTCGTTCCTCCCCAGTGGGCCGACCAGCCCAGAATACAGCCCTCCCTCGCGCCTCGGGTCAGGGTACCCAGGGGGCGGCGCGCCCTTCCAACAGCCACCAGGGATAGATGAGCAGACGGAGCCCGTGGACTTCTCCTCGCCTGCCGAACCTGTCAATTTCAGCCTGGCGCGGCCCCTCGAGTACGGCGTCACCCCCGACTACTCCCGCGCCCCCACCGCCCCCGCCTGCCCGCCCCACGACAACTCCTACGCCACCACCCCCGACAGAACCCACGACTTTAGGAATATGAACGGTGAGCTGGTGACCCGTGCCCTCCTACTGGGGCCTGGTGACCCGTGCCCTCCTACTGGGGCCTGGTGACCCGTGCCCATACTGGGACCTGGTGATCCGTGCCCCCATACTGGGGCCTGGTGACCCGTGCCCTCCTACTGGGGCCTGGTGACCCGTGCCCATATAGGGGCCTGGTGATCCGTGCCCTCCTACTGGGGCCTGGTGACCCGTGCCCCTATACTGGGGCCTGGTGACCCGTGCCCCCTACTGGGGCCTGGTGATCCGTGCCCCATACTGGGGCCTGGTGATCCGTGCCCCATACTGGTGCCTGGTGACCCGTGCCCCCTACTGGGGCCTGGTGACCCGTGCCCTCCTACTGGGGCCTGGTGACCCGTGCCCCCATACTGGGACCTGGTGATCCGTGCCCCATACTGGGACCTGGTGATCCGTGCCCCATACTGGGACCTGGTGATCCGTGCCCCATACTGGGACCTGGTGATCCATGCCCATACTGGGACCTGGTGACCACAGTAGTCGAGATCTCTCGACTCCTCCTGGAGGTTCCTTAAGGGGGAAATCCTTCCTTGTTAATGTGTCTTTGAATGTTGCTCAACATTACTAACATTAATGGCTTTAAATGTTCCTCAACCGTGTTAACATCTGTTTCTTGAAATTTCACAAATCTTCCCTAACACGTAAATCTTTAAGAGACGTAAATGCTGCTAACATCTGAATCTTGAAGGAACAGTAACGATAACTTACATATAGGATCTTTGAGTAGTTTTAATAAATACTGCCACTGCATCAGTCTTTAAGTAACAGGAGCATTGTTACCATCTTAATCTTTATTCAACACTAAAAATTACTAATATCTGAAACTAATAATGTTTACTCTGCTAGTGCCAACTAGCCTCTGCTAATCTCTGCTAATCTCTGCTAATCCCCACATCACCTTCAACCACTTAGTAAGCTTTCTTACCTCCACTGATCCACGCTTAATCCCACTAACACCCACTTACTCCCAGTAATCCTTCTTACTCATATCTCCATCTTATCCTCCTCTTCTTTACTATCCTCATTTGCTCTTGTTAATCCCAACTATCCTATACTGACAGTTGCTCAACTGCACTGACCTTATTAATCCCTACTGACCCGACCTAGCCCCTTCCTGCGCCATATTGGGTCTTCTAACCCACTATCTATAATCCTGTAACCCACTATCTATAATCCTGTAACCCACTATCTATAATCCTGTAACCTCCTATCTATGATCTTCTAACTCATAATAGGGTTTACTTCCCCCTATAACCCCCTGCTACTACCAATAATTCTAATAATCCATACTAACCCTTACTAACCTTAACTAATACGTACTGATTCATATTTACCCATTACTATCCTTACTGTTCCCTTACTATCCCCAACTAACCTTTGCTAACTCTAACCTCTTATAACTCCAACTAATGTGTCACCTAATGTCAAACTATCCCAAGTATCCCCACAACCCCTCTATTAACCCCTTACTTATCCCACAAACCCCTACTAACCCCCACAAACCCCTAATAGCCCCTATTAACCCCAACTAACCCCAACTAACCCTTACTAACCCTTACTAACCCCTACTAACCCTTACTAACCCTTACTAACCCCTACTAACCCTTACTAACCCTTACTAACCCCTACTAACCCCTACTAACCCTTACTAACCCCTACTAACCCCTACTAACCCCTACTAACCCTTACTAACCCTTACTAACCCCTACTTTCCCCATCTAACCCCTACTAACCTCCCTACTAACCCCTACTAACCCCCCTACTAACCCCTACTAACCCCCTACTAACCCCCCTACTAACCCCTACTAACCCCTACTAACCCCCCTACTAACCCCCCTACTAACCCCCCTACTAACCCCTACTAACCCCCCTACTAACCCCCCTACTAACCCCTACTAACCCCTACTAACCCCCCTACTACCCCCCCTACTAACCCCCTACTAACCCCTACTAACCCCCCTACTAACCCCCCTACTAACCCCCCTACTAACCCCTACTAACCAGGCTACAACACCATGACCACACGACCCTACGACGTGACTAGCGCCTACAACGCGGGCTACATGGGCTACCAAGGCTACCAGGGCGGCTACATGGGCGCCGGCAGCTACGGGGCTACGATGGCCGGAGACTACATGACCACCAGCGCCTGCACCACGCCCTACCAGCTCTCCCCCTCGCGGTCACAGCCCCCGCCCACGCCCATGCCTGATAGGTACGCCCATCCCTCCTCATTCTGTTTCCCACGCCCATGGTCGGCACTTATATATTTTTGACGTAAAATATTAAATTGATTATTATCAAGCATTTTGTTTATTTAACTTAAGAATAAAAGTCTACGTAGCTAAGTTCGAGCATTTCATTTTGCTCCTTTCTATAGTTTAACTTTTTGTTATCATTTTTGGCTACGAATAAAAAGTCACAGTACAATCATTTAAGTAAAAGACATAACGTTGTAAGTGTTAATTTAGAGCACTGTGGATTGTGTGTTAATATCCAACATGAAAATTTGGAAATAGACTAAAAAAAAAAAAAGCTCCTAAGGCCAACCTTCGCCAGGGGCCGGAAGCTGTATCCAAATCCAGGCAGCTCCTTGGGTAAACAACGTTGATGTAACAGTAAATCAACGTTGATAACGTTGATCTGACGGAGATTAGACGTTACTTGAGTCTATTCTGCCCGCTGGGTGACCGTTCAGTCCTTAATCTTCGTTATGAGGCTACTGGTACTCTGGAGTCAGCCAGCGAGCTGACCACAGAGGCCCCTCCCCTGGTGTGTGGGAGTCACGGCTGACCACGGAGGACCAGGTGTAGGAGTAATACTGTAGAGTGTATGTAGTGTTGTCCTCACAAGGCAGAGTTCGCGTGACCCCTCACAGTTGTCCTCACAAGGCAGAGTTTGCGTGACCCCTCACAGTTGTCCTCACAAGGCAGAGTTTGCGTGACCCCTCACAGTTGTCCTCACAAGGCAGAGTTCGCGTGACCCCTCACAGTTGTCCTCACAAGGCAGAGTTCGCGTGACCCCTCACAGTTGTCCTCACAAGGCAGAGTTCGCGTGACTGGTCACAGTCCTGTAGGGAGGCTGCTGGATACTGTGTTCTCACGTTCACGTGCGGGGAAGGCATCCTGATGTCCTTGAAATATTAGCACGTAATATTATTGACGGTGAAGATGAGGGAGCGTGTCGACATGGATATCTTACACTGCTACTCAAATGTGTCTCTTTAACACACCTTTATTTTTTTTCAAGACGGTATGCGATTACCTGTCAACGGTCTGTTATATCACGACGTTTAACATTACCTGTCAACGGTCTGTTATATCACGACGTTTAACATTACCTGTCAACGGTCTGTTATATCACGACGTTTAACATTACCTGTCAACGATCTGTTATATCACAACCTGCAAAATAAGTCCATAAGGTGTATTTCAAAACCATTATGATCAAGAATTACAAATAGGCATTACATTTGCTGAGCGACTTAATTATATAATTGTCATCTCTTGCATTACCACTGAAAATGCGACCTACCTCAGTAGGCAGTTTCCAAGAGAAACGGAAATTCAAACGTAAATACCAACGTTGATTCAACGTTTAGTTAACGTTAGTCTTGGGTACTGTACCCACTTAGATGTTGGTAAAGTGAGCATCAAGGTGATGACTCGAGACAATACTCGTGGTTGATCAAATATCATCAGTGTGAGAGATGATAGTGAGCATGAGGCTGCTCTCCGTCTTGACAGTGTTGTGTGTGTGTGTCGGACATTTATCGTTGAGTGGAAACAAAGCTGTTGGACAGAAGGTGCAGTTGTCAGCATGGCTTACTATCAACACAAATAGCTCTTTGATATCAGCCATACTTGTCTATGGCTAAAGATGCATTGAATTCACAAGTACAATCATTATATAACTATGATGACTGACGGCCACCGGCGTGAACCATAGGCCTGAACATCTGGAAAGTCATGATATTCCGTCTACACTACAACTCTTATCTAAACTTACTAGAATTCTGCGAGGTTTACATCGTGGATTTGCTCCATTCTCTTTATTAGCTTGGAAGACATCTCCCAGTCCTCCAGGATGTCTGACTATGACCTCCTCCCCAGTAACAGCGTGCGCCCCTACTCTAGGAGTGCTGGCAGCCGTCGGGACGGCAAGGAGCTCATACAGTGTCCGACGCCAGGCTGCGACGGCATGGGTCACGTCACCGGCAACTACGCCACCCACCGCAGGTTAGTGGACGCCCCCGGTAACGTGAAGGCACACACTCTGCTCACTGGATCCTTGGGGGGTGTGCCTAGGTGTGACCTCAAAACATTAGATCCCATATATTTGTTTTGATGTAAGTGACAAGGTCGAAGGTGTAGGAGATATGGCCAAGTAAGGTTCCTCTCTATCCTTTTGTTCGTTAACTAAGTGTATAAACATCAAGGTGGCTCAGCATTGTCTTGACAAACACCTTTCCTTCACTTTTCATGAATTAAGAAACAAGACTAGGATTGAGGAAGGAGGAAGGACGCCGGCGGAACCTTCAATATTGCTGGTGTGTGTAAAGGGCGGACAGATGAGTGTGTGTGTTGTGATATCTTCAACGCCAGTATCAAGTCCACTATGCCACTCACGAAGGCAATGTTTTGGTAGTGTAGTTTCCTAGGGAGGGCACTGTTGTTGTTGGCCAGTCACAGTGTAAGTCCAGGGGGAAGTGTTACCGCTCCAGCCCATTCACGAGATAGAAAGGTACATCTCCTTCACCTGGTTGGATATTTGAGAGCCTGTTGCATCTTAACGGAAGTATAGTGAGGTTGTGAGTATACTACTGACACTACGATGAACCGCTGCAGCTCCTCCTGTTACTAACCTAACTATTGTATATTACGTGACGTCCTCAGCAACACATAAATATCACTTAGGTTTAAACCTCATGGAAGGTTCATATGTTCCAGACAGTTTCTGTTAACCTTGGAGTATCTGGTGGGTCTACGACACCACAGCCAGAGAGAGAGAGAGAGAGAGAGAGAGAGAGAGAGAGAGAGAGAGGGAGAGAGAGAGAGAGAGAGGGAGAGAGAGGGAGGGAGAGGGAGGGAGAGAGAGAGAGAGAGAGAGAGAGAGAGAGAGAGAGAGAGAGGAAGAGAGAGGGGAGAGAGAGGGGAGAGAGAGGGAGGGAGAGGGAGAGAGAGAGAGAGAGAGAGAGAGAGAGAGAGAGAGAGAGAGAGAGAGAGAGAGAGAGAGAGCGAGAGCGAGAGCGAGAGCGAGAGCGCTATATCAGGCTACAACCGTGCCGCCATACTGCCCCCATACTCTCTCTCATTGAGAGAGAGAGAGAAAGAAAGAGAAAGAGAGGCTATAGTGTATATAATAGTCACGTTATATATTTATGTACTTATTTTAGATATATCCTGTCTGCTTCTAGTACAGTAGATAGATATCGGAACCTAAAGGAAACAACACATTATTGCACAAACAACCTCATATTTTCCTACGACAAATAAATAGGTAATTGAGCTTGGAACTCATCTTTTTAACCCACTCTCACGAAGGCCAAAATTGACCTCGGATGCCTGTGTGGGCACAAGCACTGGCCCTTGATAGACGGATAGATAGATGGCGGGATAGATGAACAGATAAATGGTTAGATGGATGGACAGATGGTTAAATGGATAGATAGATGTGCAGATGGGAAACGGACCGACCCGGACAATGTCAGGTATCCCCCTAGTATACTACAAGAAAGAATGACTGACTGTCTGTCTGCTGTTCGAAGCTGGAAGCCACACGGCTGGGGCCAGCCTCACCCAAATTGGCAGCGGGAGTAGTCTGAGGTACGGGATGAACATAGGCTTGTCGGCGTCGCCAGAATTAAAAACCCGAACAGCGTACCGAGGTCACATTCAGACCCCCAACGACTATTTTTGGCTTCACAGTTAAATAGCTAGAAAACGACTTAAAAAAACTTAGTTTTTCTTATGGTAATATGCAGAATTATTCACTGATCTCTAGAAAAATGACATAAACTTTCTTTTATCAATAATTTGCCCGTACTCGCATAAAGCAGATGATTCTTTCACAGCTTGAAAAGTTTTCTTAAGACGCGGTTTGTTTATCACAATAAGAGGTAACTATACTTTCTTAGTATTTTACACTAAGTTCCTGACGACCACTCGCACATTTGACAATTATATTTTGCTATATAAAAGACAGACACAGACCGACAGAGACAGACACACACAGAGAGAGACAGTGACTCAGAGAGGCAGAGACGGAGATAGAGACAGACAGTAGATAGATGGATGGACAGAGTGATGGATAGATAAGAGTTATTGATAAGTAGATGGATTAGTAGATAGTTGGACAGATTTGGACAAATTGATGGATAGGCAGATAAATGGACTGATATATGGGTAGAAAGATGAGTAGGTGTATGGATAGGTAAATGGATGGATATAGATTGATAGAGGAATGGATATATGGAAGGACGGATGAATGGCAGGGGGATAGATAGAGACAGATACACAGAGACAGAAAGACAATGAGAGAGGCAGAGATAAAGACAGGGAGGGACAGAAAGGGGCAGAGAAAGACACAGAAAGTAGATAGATAGATGGATAGAGTGCTGGTTAGATGGCTGTATAGATTGATGGTTAGATGAATAGATTGATGGCTAAATAGTTAGATTGATGGTTAAATGGATAGATAGATGGATATTGATGGTTAAATGAATGGATAGACTGATGTATAGATGAATGGATGGATGGATTCATAGATGGGAAGATGGAGGGGATAGATGGATAGATAGATAGATAGATGAATGGATGGATAGTTGGATGGATATATAAATAGACAGATGGATAGATAGAAAAACCCACACACACACACACACACACACACACACACACACACACACACACACACACACACACACACACACACACACACACACACACACACATATGTATATATATATATATATATATATATATATATATATATATATATATATATATATATATATATATATATATATATATATATCGACCTATACAACAAGCAAATCAAAATAAATTTTTTTATTTCTTACCAGACAGCACTTATAGGAGAATCATTATCCATGTACGTAAATATGTGTAGATATACTGAGCTACTTAACTCATCACTGGTTTACTGCGAGCAACAGGTGTTCACTCATCATTACTCCCTATGGCCGCTCCAAGCAACAGCCTGTTGGACCAAGTACTCACTAGTCAAGCCTAGTCCGGGCCGGGGCTTGAGGAGAAGAACAACTCCCAAAACCCCATCCAGGTACAGTCCAGGTACATAAGAGAAGTGAACTCAAGACCTCTAGATTGCCAGGCCGGTTCATTAACCTCTCCTCCTTCACACAGTCTGTAAAGATTGATTTCGAAACGTCTTAAAACCTCGAGAGATAGTTGAAGAAATGTACATGTCATATGTATCTTTACTATAGTAAGGTTCCTACTTATAAATGTCTTTGTTTACACATGATTGTGTTTGTGGGAGTATATATGTACGGGTTTACATGTTGTTGGGGTATAAAACATTCAGTATAACCAGCTGAGCATATGTAAACATTGGCCAGCTTAAGTTGTGGCCTGAGACACAAGCAAGTGTAAGCAGACGTACAGCACCGACTCCTTCCTAGTCTTGCAGATGCCATAACTGTACATGTGTCGCAAGATATCTTTTCCTTAAAATTAAGTCAGTCACTTGAGCAATAGTTGACATTGTTCACTGACTGGAGACAGGTGTGAGAACATGGCCACTAACTGTATCTCCTACACTTTAATGCGACCTGAGTTTAAATACTCTTTTTTATGTGTGTAACTTGGGGCTTTTTCATGTTGGTAAAACATATTGTATAAGTTAAGTGAATAGATTTGCATTCAATATTTTCTTGGTTGACTGGCCTGACCACTCTAGGACACCTCTTAACTTGTGGATCTGACCAGTTATTAATATTCATCATGAGAAAGCAAAACATTTGCGTCAATTTTAAGTGTCATTAGAAGTTGCTGGAAGCATATGTGGGTGTGAGGGTAGAATCCTTGGTTGTAAATGTAACATCATTTCAGTTGAATTCAAATCAATGGCATCCTCAATCACAGCAGCACATTAGCAGCTTGGCTGGTTTTCTCAAGATGACATTAAAGTAACATAGAGTGATGTGCCTTCTTTTTTACGGGTGGCTGGGGACTTGTGAACAAAAAAAAAAATGTCTTGGTCTATCTTAGGAAACCTTGATATTTATATTTACTGGTTGATAATGTGAATTTTAGAGGTAGAGGCAAAGCTCAGCACCCTGCCATACAGTATTAGTGAAGTTCAACAATCCTTGTGCAGTCATACCAGCCCACTCGTGCTCTACCCAACCACCCATCGTATGTAACCTATTGCACACAGTCTTGGTCAAAAAAATCTTCACCTGGCCAAGTCTATCCTCGCCCCACCATCCAGCCTGTCCGGATGTCCCCGCGCGGATCGCTCGAGTATCCAGCACCAGACCCAAGAGTTGAAGTGCCCCACGCCTGGGTGTGATGGGTCGGGGCATGTGACCGGCAACTACTCCTCCCACCGCTCACTCTCCGGCTGCCCCAGAGCCAACAAGCCCAAGCACAAACCCAAAGACACTCAAGACTCTGAGCCTCTCCGGTGAGTGCCTCATCCTTTGCTTTTGAACTCTTACTATGGTTATCTCAACGAACTTAATAGTATTGTGGAACTAGGGTGTCTACTTCTAAGTACTTTTAAATCCCACTTCTAAAGAAATGACGGGAAACTTTGTTCCTGAAAACAATAATATTTGAAGAACTTAATACAATCAATACCAAAGTTTCACAATCACAAATTCTAGTTCGTAGTTTTTGTGTGTGTGTGTTGCTGTGTATGTACCCGCTTTTGTTGGTTGCCTTCTGAGGACCAGACCTCCCTCCAGCTGACAGTGGCTTGGACCCATGTTATACCGACACTCCCATCTTGGACCTACAGCTTGGCATAACGAAAAGCTTGGATCCATGTCTGAGTGGTGCACTAACCTTGAACCCGTACCCTAGTTACATTCTAGCCTCAGAATCATACTTTGTGATGTTCGAAGCTTGGATCAATGTTTAAAATATGAACTAAGCTCAGACCTTTGTCCTCCTGATTTTAAGCTCGATTGACGTATATACAAACGTTTCTCGTATCAGGAATACACGTCTAAATTATAATATAATTTTGGACGCATGTGTTCATAATATTCTAAGCTTGAAATCGTAGATTAATGAAGTTTGAAGCTTGGATTCATAACACTTGTGCCCAAGATTGAATACATATCCTAGCCATACAGTGGACTTACGTTTTTACCTCACAAATATTCAGAATTCCATGTGGAAGTGAGTGCGCGACAAAGCTTGAGCCTGGTTATTGATGTTTCATCTATATTGGTCGTCACCGTTAACAACGCCTGCATGTACAGTACAATGGATCTAAAGAAAAGTAATAAAGAGCTATTAATTTTCTGAGATGTAATTGTAGAGGTGTTGGTAGTAGAGGCTGAGTGTGAGTACCACAGTAGTGGGTGGTGAGTGAGCCTCCAGCACTGGTCCAAGCTTCACCGTCAGCTGGTGGCGGAGGACTTTCTTGTGCCCTTCACTGTTTTTTTAAAAGTTGGTGTATGGGAGGCCCAATGTAACTGAAGCCCAGTCATCCATGGATAGACCAATTTTCTCAGAAATCAGTAATATGATCTCAGTCTTGCTTTACTCCTTAAATATTAAAGATCAAAATGGTGCTGCGCCAGATTGTAGAGCCATAGATATTTAGTCATCAGTGTGCCAGGGAGCGAGACGGGGGTGACCCCGCCCTCCTCCATGAAGCGCTGCTCTTGCCCCACTCACCTCACATGACCTCACTGACCGCCATTGTGCTGCCCTTAGCTGTCCAGTCCCTGGATGTGATGGGTCGGGGCACTCCACGGGCAAGTTTCTCAGTCACAGGAGGTAAGAAGGCCTGAGCTTACGGGAGCCAGAACCAGACACCACTTGAGGCCTTCACTTCCACTCGTCTGCCACATACATGACTCTAGCGTCACCGGGGTTCTTGCCGTCACATATTGACACCCGTCGTCGCATTAACTGGCAGTAACGTCATGCATAAAGCAAGAGAGGAATAAAGGCGATGAGAGCCTCATTTTAAAGTGCTTGCCTAGAGAATGAAGCCAGTCGTTGAGCAGTAAGTGTAGAGTAATGTTGTGGCGTGTATGTGACGAAGCCAGACGGTGGTGGTGCCTCCAACTGACCTCAAGTGGAGTTGAACCACTGGATCCCACTTACTAGTACCAACATGCTAGTGCCCCTTATCGGACATACTGCATGCTAAGCTGAGAAATAAGTAGCCAACAATTTGGTGATACTGAGAGTGTGTAGTAGTGGGTGCCGCTGGTCAGGTGGCAGACTAACTTGCCCTGGTGTGTATCCCCAGTGCCTCGGGCTGTCCCATCGCCAACCGCAACAAGATGCGCTCCCTCGAGGGGGGCGGGGGGGCAGGGCTGGGCATGGGCATGGGCGTCTCCACTGGGTTAGCTGCCATGGGTGAACCGCGACCTCCACTCCTGGCGGCGTCTTACTCCACGGGCGGCCCCACAGGCCCTCCCGCGGCCGCCCACAGCCTCTTGGCCCGCCCACTCCTCCACCCACTGCAGCCCCCACCAGCCAAGAAGCTCAGGATGGATGACACGTCTATGGTCTTCAAGACAGGTGCGTCCTGCATGCTAATCCACTATACATAGTTGTCCATATTGTCCACACCATACATAGCTGTCCATATTGACCACACCATACATAGCTGTCCATATTGACCACACCATACATAGCTGTCCATATTGTCCACACTATACATAGTTGTCCATATTGTCCACACTATACATAGTTGTCCATATTGTCCACACCATACATAGCTGTCCATATTGACCACACCATACATAGCTGTCCATATTGTCCACACCATACATAGCTGTCCATATTGACCACACCATACATAGCTGTCCATATTGACCACACCATACATAGCTGTCCATATTGACCACACCATACATAGTTGTCCATATTGTCCACACTATACATAGCTGTCCATATTGACCACACCATACATAGCTGTCCATATTGACCACACCATACATAGTTGTCCATATTGTCCACACCATACATAGCTGTCCATATTGACCACACCATACATAGTTGTCCATACTGACCACACCATACATAGCTGTCCATATTGACCACACCATACATAGCTGTCCATATTGACCACACCATACATAGCTGTCCATATTGACCACACCATACATAGCTGTCTATACTGACCACACCATACATAGTTGTCCGTCGTGCTGGTGAAAGAACACCTAAAGGTAAGAAAATTTATAATTAACAACTGACGAGATGTTGAGATAACCTCACTGGAGATTTGTACTCAGGATGATAAACTGATAATCATAAATCCCATGAGCACTCATAAACCAAACACACATGAGCAAAGGAGGAACTGGATGACAACTGAGAAGGCCTCATAATGGCCGTAAGAGAGATTATAGTACAAGCAGATAGAGATAAATCACGATTGTTACTACTTGGTGACTTACACTCGAAATCAATAAACTGAGAGGCCTATGAAGCAAGACTGGAGGACATTTGGATTGATAGATTTATATACCTCATCCTGGAGATAATTCTCCATGGGATGTTCCGTCAATACTGGATTTGCTATAAATCAGGAAAGAAGAAGAATAAGTGATATTTAACATTATGTACCTTCTTTCCATGGGTATAAGCCACCATGTTCTTTTGGAAATATAATATGCAATGCGTTATTATCATGAAGAGATTGAGAAAAAGGAAGCAGTTGAAAGTTTTGTTTGCTGATGATATTATGGGGAACTTTGAACGTTCTTTAAGGAATTTAATTGGAAACACTTATTGTTCGGCAGAGAAGTAAATGAGATGTATGCCACGTTTTGTGAAATATATGATGAATGCACAACAAAGTTTATACCCAAACAGAGATGCAGAACAAGTGCACGGTAGTCCCTAACTGTCCCTAACTTGTATACCATGCAAGGTGATGGAGAAGATCGTGAGAAAAAACCTAGTAATACATCTGGAGAGAGGGGACTTCGTGACACACCACTAACAAGGGTTCAGGGATGGTAAATCTTGCCTCACAGGTTTAATAGAATTCTACGACCAGGTGATAAAGCTTAAGCAACAAAGAGATGGGTGGGCAGACTGCATTTTCTGGGACTCTCGGAAAGCCTTTGACTCAGTACCCCATAATCGGTACTCGGACCTATCCTGTTTCGGATATATGTAAATGGTCATCCAGAGGGCACACTTATTCCTCTCAATGTTTGTGGATGACGCAAATATTATGAAAAAGATTAAGTCAGAAGAGTATTATGCCTCAGTTTTATGCTTCACGATGACCTGGAGACACTGAAGAAATGGTCTAACAAATGGTTGTTAGAGTTTAACCAAACCAAATGCAAAGTAATAAAGATAGATGCAGGGAGAAGGAAGCTGGATACAAGGTACCGTTTGGGAGATGAAATTCTGTAAGATTCAGAGAATGAGAAAGACCTGGGGATTGATATCACGCCAGACCTGTCCCCTGAAGCCAACTTCAAGAGGATATAATCAGCGGCATACGCGCATTTGGCCAACATAAAAACGGGCTTTAGAAACTTTGAAACTTGTGTAAAGAATCATTCAGAACCTTGATTATCACATGTCAGACTAATCCTGGAGTATGCAGCTCCAGCATGGAGTCCATATCTCGTTAAACGTAAGTCTAAATTCGAGAAGGTTCAGAGGTTTGCCACCAGATTAATATCCGAGCTGAGGGGTATCAGCTACGAGGAGAGTACGGAAACTAAACCTCACGTCGCTAGAAGACAGAGGAGTTAAGAGAGACGTGATCACCACAGAGAAGATTCTCAGATGAATTGACAGGGTAGATAAAAACAGTATTTAACACATGGGGGGGGGGGTACACGCACTAGGGGGACACAGATTGAGTAGCCAAATGAGCCACAGGGATATTAGAAAGAACTTTTTATGGTTTTATTGTGAGAGTAGCTAACAAATGGAATGAATTAGGCAGTGATGAGGTGTAGGGTGACTCCATACACAGCTTCAAGTGGAGATATGATGGAGATATAGTGTGAGGATGTGGTAGGCTCAGGACAATGGACATCGGTCCATTGAGCCCAGTAGGCTCAGGACATCGATTGATTAACTTTTGAGTAGCGGGACCAAGGAGCCGAAGCTCAACCCGCGCACGCACAGTTAGGCGAGTTCAATTAGGTAAACTACCACACTCTCACACTCAATTACTAGTTCACAAGTGTGGTAGTTCAATTAACTACCACACCCACACTCTCACTACCACAACCACACTCACACTACCACACAAACACTCACACTACCACACCCACACTCACCATATTGAGGTTATCTTGAGATGATTTCGGGGCTTTTAGTGTCCCCGCGGCCCGGTCCTCGACCAGGCCTCCACCACCAGGAAGCAACCCGTGACAGCTGACTAACTCCCAGGTACCTATTTACTGCTAGGTAACAGAGGCATTCAGGGTGAAAGAAACTTTGCCCATTTGTTTCTGCCTCGTACGGGAATCGAACCCGCGCCACAGAATTACGAGTCCTGCGCGCTATCCACCAGGCTACGAGGCCCCACACTACCACCATCACACTACCACACCCACACTCTCACTACCACACCCACCCTCACACTACCACACCCACCCTCACACTACCACACCCACCCTCACACTACCACACTCACCCTCACACTACCACACCCACCCTCACACTACCACACCCACCCTCACACTACCACACCCACCCTCACACTACCACACCCACCCTCACACTACCACACCCACCCTCACACTACCACACCCACCCTCACAACCACAACCACCCTCACACTACCACACCCACCCTCACACTACCACACCCACCCTCACACTACCACACCCACCCTCACACTACCACACCCACATACTCAATACCACACCCACACACTCACTACCACATACACCCTCACACTACCACACACACCCTCACACTACCACACCCACCCTCACACTACCACACCCACCCTCACACTACCACACCCACACACTCAATACCACACCCACACACTCACTACCACACCCACCCTCACACTACCACACCCACCCTAACACTACCACACCCACCCTAACACTACCACACCCACCCTCACACTACCACACCCACCCTCACAACCACAACCACCCTCACACTACCACACCCACCCTCACACTACAACATCCACACTCACACTACCACAACCACCCTCATTCTACCACACCCACCCTCACACTACCACACCAACCCTCACACTACCACACCCACCCTCACACTACCACACCCACCCTCACACTACAACATCCACACTCACACTACCACAACCACCCTCACACTACCACAACCACCCTCACACTACCACACCCACCCTCACACTACCACACCCACCCTCACACTACCACATCCACACTCTCACTACCACACCCACCCTCACACTACCACACCCACCCACACACTACCACACCCACCCTCACACTACCACACCCACACTCTCACTACCACAACCACCCTCACACTACCACACCCACCCACACACTACCACACCCACCCTCACACTACCACAACCACCCTCACACTACCACACCCACCCACACACTACCACACCCACCCTCACACTACCACACCCACCCTCACACTACCACACCCACCCTCACACTACCACACCCACCCTCACACTACCACACCCACCCTCACACTACCACAACCACCCTCACACTACCACACCCTCACAGTACCACAACCACCCTCACACTACCACACCCACCCTCAATCTACCACACCCACCCTCACACTACCACAACCACCCTCACACTACCACACCCTCACACTACCACACCCACCCTCACACTACCACACCCACACTCTCACTACCACAACCACCCTCACACTACCACACCCACACTCACACTACCACAACCACCTTCACACTACCACACCCACCCTCACACTACCACACCCACCCTCACACTATCACACCCACCCTCACACTACCACACCCACCCTCACACTACCACACCCACCCTCACACTACCACAACCACCCTCACGCTACCACAACCACCCTCACACTACCACAACCACCCTCACACTACCACACCCTCACACTACCACACCCACCCTCACACTACCACACCCTCCCTCACAATACCACACCCACCCTCACACTACCACACCCACCCTCACACTACCACAATCACCCTCACACTACCACACCCACACTCTCACTACCACACCCACCCTCACACTACCACACCCACCCTTACACTACCACACCCACCCTCACACTACCACATCCACCTTCACACTACCACACCCACATACTCACTACCACCACACCCACCCTCATACTACCACACCCACCCTCACACTACCACACCCACCCTCACACTACCACATCCACCTTCACAATACCACACCCACCCGCACACTACCACACCCACCCTCACACTACCACACCCACCCTCACACTACCACACCCACCCTCACACTACCACACCCACCCTCACACTACCACACCCACCCTCACACTACCACACCCACCCTTACACTACCACAACCACCCTCTCACTACCA